AATGAGAAATTAATAATAGAGGTTATTTCTCTATTGACTAGAAGAATCAGCTCAGATGTAGGTATCATATTGTAAACACACAAAGAAAAAGGACCATTCAAATGTGAATATGGCCAGGCACGGTGGCCCACACCTGTAATTTCAGCAGCTTACGAGACTGAGGCAGGAGGATCCCAAGTTCAAAACCAGCCCAGCAACTTGGCAAGGCTCTAGGTAACTCAGTGGGACCCTGTCTTTAGATAAAATATAAAAAAGGGACTGGGGACGTGGTTCAGTGGTTAAGTGGCCCTGGTTTCAATCACTAGTTCAAAGACAGAGAGAGAGAGAGAGAGAGAGAGAGAGAGAGAGAGAGATTGTTTCTAGAATGGTTTAATTTTTAATAAATTATAGTTAAATCTCTTTTTTTCCTGTACCAGGGATTTAAACCCAGGAGAGCTCTACCACTGATGCACATCTCCAACACTTTTTATTTTTGAGACAGGGTCTTGCTAAGTTGCTGAGGCTGCCTTGAACTTGCAATCCTCCTGCCTCAGTCTCCCAAATTGCTGGGATTACAGGCATGTGCATCACCCCAGCCCTGTAGTTAAATCTTTAGATCATCCTTTCCCAAACTTCTCACATCTGATTTTAAAAATATAAAACTGGCTTAATGTAACTGCTGCAAAAGCTTCTGTACTCTCAATCTAACCGCTTGTCCTTTAAAAGATATATTCATAATTTTAAACAGGTGAAAATATTGGGACAAAGAAGGAAGACAATGTTTTCTCAATACCAAAATTATCCTCTTGTTAATATCTGGGCTCCCCAGGTCAGTCCAAAGAACGTGGAAAACAAGATAACGGGTGGACACGGGAGTTGTTATTGATTTCATGGATCCCACTACATTATTGGAGCTACCTCCCAAATGGACAAACTGAGCAAGTCTTAAAGAGAAAAGGAGGGAGATCTGGAGAGCAAGAACTAAAGCAAGAGAGAGAAAGAATCTGAGAGACCTGCCCTCTGAACCAGTTCACAGCCTCCCCCTCGTTCCAGCCATCTGCCAACACCATCCTGTAACTTCTCCCGTCAATCACAGAGCCCTGGGTGCTTGCAATGCGACCTCCCCCTTCCCTCAGGTAGGTTGCATTGGAGGCCCCTCTCTTTGCTAGTGATGTTCCAACAAAAATACTCAAGGATCTCAGCCTTTCTACAATGTGTTGGCACTTTGGTTCCTCCCTGATTTAAAGCCCCAGAAGTTCAGACAAACACCACAAATTGCCTGGATCCAAAGTAACAATCATAGGGAGAAAAGGAAAACATGGTTAGACAAGCAGAATGTTTGTTATCACAGCACGGCTTTATTGAATAAATAACACACTAAATACAGGGCTGTCCTTTTACTCGATTTAAGCCTAGAGCAGCTTACAACTCTAAACTCCAGTGCTGAAAGAGAGAGCTGGGCATGCTCCCCACATTCAAACCAAAACCCCTGTAACACAGGGAAAGGAGGAAGCAAGGGGCCACGTTGGTCAGAAACAACACTGTGAACTGTCAGGGACAACAGCTGTGACCTGCAGTCATTTCAAAGCTACCACTCAGCCTGGAACAGTGGCACCCCATCCTCCACTGCTGGAGACTCAACTACACACTGTAATCACCTGAGAAGCTTTAGAGATGCTCTCAACTGGTCTTGCTACCAAAGAACCTGATGTAATAATTTGAGGTGAAGCCAAGACCAGGGGATTTTTTTTAAAGCTCTCTGGGTAATTCTAATTAGCATCTGAAGTTGGGTACCACCTGGCCCACCAGGAATTCTCATGTGATCCCATACCTTTGGTGAATGGTTCCCATGAAATGACCTCTAGGTATACAGGCCTGGGGAAGAGTTGGATGGGTCCAGGTCAAAACAGAACTTTGACAGTGTAGCACAGGCATAGGCTGCCTAATGTTATGTGGATGCTGAGGTCAAACGGGATTTCTATGTGCAAGTCATGCTACCAAACACATGAACAAAATTTTAAGTAGGAAGATTGTCAGTGCACCAGTCATGTCAGTTAACCTTCTGGATATATGGCATCCTGCAATGGCCTCCCTATATGGAAATACACACATGTCCCATACTCTGTGTCCTCAAAGGAGGCTAAGTACAGGATATGAACTTTTGCTGCACATGGTAGTAGACGAAGTGGTTAGAATCACCAGGCTCTGTGGCCAGACTGCCTCAGTTCAAATCATAGCTGAGTAAGTCAATGAACCTCTCCAGACCTGACTATAAAACAGTCTTTACTTCCTAGGGTTGTCAAATAAGTAAATATATGTAAAGGAGGTAGAACAGTGCCTAGCACATGGTAAGAGCTCAGGAAAGTGTAGGGTATTAAGATTGTCTGTGTGCGGGAGGTAGTGGCATACACCAGAAATCCCAGCATCTCGAGAGGCTGAGGCAGGAAGATCACAAGTTCAAAGCTAGCCTCAGCAATTTAGCGAGACCCTAAGCAACTTAGCGAGACCCTGTCTCAAAATAAAAAAATAAAAAGGGCTGGAGATGCTGCCCAGTGGTTAGGCACCCTGGGGTCAAATCCCTGGTAAGGAAAAAAAAAAACCAAGACTGTGTGTGTGATCTGCCTTGGGTGATTAGGCAATTATCATCCTCAGGACCATGAAGGAGCCTTAGTAGATCACTTGACTGTGTGGATGAAAGGTAAAGGGGACCTCACTGAATGCACAAGAAGCATAGGGCTACTGGGTTACCCTGAGTCTAGTTGCACTAGATCCTTCTTTAAAGATGGCCACCAACATGCCCAAACCAAAATCATTCTTTTTGGCAGACGTCATCTAATTTTTAATTGGATCACATGTAACAACTCTATGATATGACAACTCACCTGTTAACTAGGGATACATTTTCCAACAAGATTACATTCAAGTATCCACCAGTAAACTAAATTGCTTAAATTTAAATATTATAGGAATGCTTTATTAAGATTTTCTAATGTTCGCTGAATGCAAATACCAGCTATTAAAATTTTCCTGGCTAAAATTATTAGGGCCAGAGGCTGTCCAGTAGACCATGTATAGCAACGTACCGATAATTGAATTCTGAAGAAAATATTAGCTCAGCCCACATCCCTGGAGAGTTGGGATGGCCTTCTATAATTAAGACATATCTCTTGACTGGATTCTATAACTGGAAAAGAGTGTCAGTCCTCTCTTCTCCTAGCTGATGTGTCAGGGTCTATGGATCTTTCCTTATTGGACAACAGAGAATGGCTACACTCACATTTTTGCCCAAGAATATATCTCATTAACTTTTGTGCTTCTAAATGGTTATCAAACGTCAATTAGGGAAATCAATACTCATAAATTAATTACTTCAAAGATTTTCTGTTCATCCTCCTAATGTTCTAAACATAATTCTTAGCAAATCAGAGACCTTATTGCTGCCAACCCAGGCAAGTTCTAGCAAGTTGTATTTTTATGGTATATAATGTTTAGGCATGTAATAACTACAAAACAGTCAGAGAAGAAGAAACTGTTAGAAGAGCAGACCAGGGTGAATACATTCTTACGCTGAAACTGACAGTAGATTGCTGGTTCTCAATGACCTTTCGTTTTTGTTCCTCAAACTGGAATAATGATAAAGTGGAAGTATTCAAAAGCCCACAACTGACCCCACATGAATGTCCAGCTCTCTCAAAAGAAGGGCCACACTTGTCAGAGAGAACCCCTACAGGAGACTCCAAGAGACAGTAGAGTACCATGTGTAGGTTCTCACAAGACAGTAATTGTCAGTCTGAACTCACAGAGGGCCTTGGTTTCAGTAATGCATTAGAAAAGTTAGCCCCAGCTTCCAATGCAACCACCAGAAAACAGGTCCAATTTATTGGAGTAAACAGGGGCTTTATTGGCTAATGAGCCTGGGAAGTCCAGGTGCAGGTTCTTTTCCAGACAAAGCTGATTTAGAGACTCAATATAGTCAATTCTGCATCATTCTGTAAGCCTCTCGACTCTTAAAGTCACAACATGGCATCTTTCTTAATTGTCTCCATGTGGTAACCAAGATGACTGCTAGAGGTCCAAGCTCACACCCTCTTAGTTTGGAATTCCAGAAAGATGTTGCCTCCTGAAGCCCATCAGGCAATCCTCGGAAAGACTAATTTGTCCTGTTTGGAACACAGAAACAACCAAAAACAACCCCTCCCTAGGGAAGTGAGTCATTGATACTCTGATAGGACAGCTTGGGTCACAAGCCCACTCTGGATACCTTGGTGGAGGCACTCACAGCTCCACACATGGAGTAGGAAAAGAATTTCCCCCCAAAAAAAAAAACATAAAATCAAGAAAACATTGTAAGCAAATAAAACTATTGTTACATAAGTCCTAGGCAATAATAACTGAAATAACTATACCCGTGTATCTCATTTTTCCCAGGGAAGAAGCCAGGCTTTCTCTGCCATGGCAATTTCAACTGCCTTTCCCAGGCACTTTGAGAAAGTGGAGGAAATGCACAGTATTAATGGGTTTTCCACATCAGAAGACCTAGATCCATGATATAGTGATGAGCATTCTGCAAACCTCCGCTAAAGTCCTAGCTCCGAGATGGAAGAGCCCTGTGAACGCGGGCAAGCACCTTCTACTTTCTGGGGGACCCTGGGTAGGAATTCCCATCTCAGAGATGTACTTGCCCTGCGACTTTTTAAAAATTCCCTTCTCCTTTCTGTGGGTATCAATTTTCTCATCCATTTGAGGGTAAGAGATGATTTCTGAAATCCGTTCACTTAAAAAATAAATATGCAAACAAAAAACATCTACAATCGTGATTCATCTGGACAAAGCTCCCCAGTGTGGTTCACAAGCCCCCAAGCCAGACAATTCAATTCTGTCCTCTGGTGCAGAGGAAGGCAGAGCAGAAAAGCAAAGGTTTATGTTCACAGAGCAGACCTTCGGCAAGTATGGGGGGCAAAGGTCCCTAGCGACAGACAGGGGGCCCACGAGGTGTGGTCACCAGCATCCACATTCAGGACTCACGGCCACAGCTGGGGCTTGACGAACACCTCACCATGAGCTTCATATGTCAGTGCTTTCCAGTCCAGGACATTAGGACTGAAGGTCCCACCAACATACACCATGTTGATCTGATCTGGAGTCAACACGAAGTCCCACATGTTCACATCTCCAAGGTCTCCCACCAAAGACTGGCTTGCCTCAAAGCCTCCACCAAATGAATCTTGATCCTGTCCCAGGACGATGCTTGCCTCTGTCCCCACAGAGTAGCCCTTATTCAGGCTCTTCCTCACCATGGGCTTCCCGTCTACCCAGAGCTCTGCGATCCCTGTGATGGACTCCCAGCTGGTACAGATGTGTACTGGAGCCATAGTAACTTCGGGAGCCTTGAAGAATATTTCAGACCCACCCACTGAAAGAAGATATCCTCTATTGAACGACCAAAATATGAGGATATCATTAAATTGTTTCTTGGTAGCGAAAGAGAAAATACCGTATCCTCGGGTCATGGCCAGTTCCGTGTAGATGTGGAAGCACACGGTGAAGGCTTTCAGTGGCTCCTTTAACTGGGCTTTCAGGGATACATAGGAATCATCCGACACTTTGGGAAACACAAAGGCCTTCCTAGACATGTCTGTGAGATAGAAAACCAATGAGAGATGAGAAGTTTCTCAGATCACAAAGATCTGTCCCTCTTTTACAAATGCAGCTTGGGATCAAGAAGCAAACCCACCATTTCCCCAGCTCTCCTCTCCCCAGCCCCTGCCCTCTCTTGCATATAGAATGTTCCTCTGAATTCCGTTTGTATAATCTGAGGCCCCACCCCATCCCTACCCCTCCCATCACATCTCTGACATAGTCTGTGGTACCTCCTACCTTTCTGGCCAAAAGCATTAGAGAAGCCGATCAACACCACGACACACCATAACAGCTTCTCCATGGTCATTCCCTGCTGCCTAAGCTTCTAGGATCTGGGTTCACCCCCTTGGAAAAAGCTAGTTCCTGAAAACTCAGGAACTAGAAGTCCTAGGTTCCTCACCGCAGGCCTGCTCTATCCCACCTGGATTTATATCCTTAGCAGAACAGGGATTCTGTGCCACTTTGTAAATGATTTTCTAACACTGCCTCTGGGACAAGTGTCAGGGCTGTGGGAGGAAGGGAAGCCAGATCATTCCGGAACAGAGAAATCAATGTGGGTTATTTATTACAAACTCCTGTGACTCGTGAATCGCCAATTCTTGGTGACAGGAAAAGAATGAAGAAGCTTCTCAAGGTTCCACTGTGGCTATCCTGAGAAAATAATGGAAACTTTTAACTTAAGAGACAAGTGGCCATCTGTGTGCACATGACTGTTGCTTCTCCAACGCCAACTTCAGCCCAAGTCATGGTGTCCGATGGAGGGAAACTGACAGCCTGTGGAGATGGATGTCATCACCAACCCTTCTCAAAATCTGCCCTCTTACAGACTGGGGAAGAGGAGAGCAAACATGCCATTCCTGGAGCCAAGAGCAAACATTTCTTGGTCAACTGACTGTACTTATTAAGAGATCTCTGGTCAGGTGAGACATGTGTCTGATCCCAAATGTACCACAGTGTCAGAGCTTCTTTACACAGATTATTCTCTGCATATATAAAACTTCAGGGAGAAGTCAGGATGATCTACACTGGTCTCCATGGCTGAAGTAATTCAAGTTGTCCTTCCACACTGCCTGGCAATCTTGCTACAGTTCCTTACTTGACTCACACTTCCAAATGACCATATTTCTCCTTCCCCTTGTTCCTGCAATCCTCCAAATTTCATTCGTTTTTTTTCACTCAAGTCATGAGCTCACCCCTTCATTGAAAAATCAAAAGCAATCAGAAAAGGACCACTATATCCTTTGTAGCAGAGGCTCCGGGCCATTCCCCAGTATCCATTCTCCACTTCTTTTTAAGAATGGCATTTGTGGGGCTGGGGTTATGGCTCAGTGATAAAGCACTCGCCTTGCACATGCAAGGTCCTGGGTTCCATCCTCAGCACCACATAAAAATAAATAAATAAATAAATAGTTGGGCACATGGTCACCCAGACAAGCACTAAATGTCCCAACCTCCTTCACATCTTGGAGTAATTAAGTCGTTAAATGCCAGTGTATGAGCTGGGAGCAGAACAGGAATCATCTCCAGGTTGGGCCCTTAAGGAGAAGATACGTGTGTTCCCTTTCACTTCCCCCTTTCCCTTTGGTGAGGATTCAGACATGAGAGCAGGAGATGGAGCAGTCAGTCACCTTAAGATGAAAAAAATATAAGCTGCATATTGAGCTTGGCACAGCAACAAGATAATTTATTTTGGGGGCCACTGTATTAGTCCTAGACTGCCTTCCTGAACATTTACATCAAGGGAAAATAGTCTTATCTTTCACAAAATCACTATTAATTTAGTCTTTCTGTTACTGAATCCTACCTGATATCATTATACAAATTTCCACCACAAAACCTACCAGCCTTTCTGTCTCTCTCCTATTACAAGAGATGAGCCATCCCTGTGGATATCTAAGGTCAACCTTGCCCTTCAGCAGTGCAACCCAGAGCTTCTCCACCACGCAGGGAATTCTGCGCCTGGACATATCCTTAGTATCTTATGTATATATCATTAATTTCTTCATCTTTACTCAATCATTCCCCCCCCAAAAAAAAAACAATACTGCAATGTAGCTGATATGTTAAAGAAGGAAGGAAGGGGGGGAGAGGGAAGAAAGGAAAGGGAAAAAAGAAGGAAGAAAGAAAGAATAAAAAAGAAGGAAGGAGGGAGGAAAAGATTATGTGTAGTCACAACTTCCATTTTCCCATTTCTTGATCCACCTTCGACCCATGAAAATCAGACTTTGGTTTTCCACCAGTGAAACCCACACATACAAACCCCTCTCTTTTCTTATTATTTAATAATGGATTTTCTGTTCTTCTCTTACCCTACTCCTTACTATATTCAGCAAAGTTCATATCTCTCTGTCTATCTATCTATCTATGGAATACCTACACGTTAATTCAAAAAGTGAAATAACTTTAAGGCCTTGTGCCTAAAAGAAGTGGTTTTCTGTTCGACCACTTCCCATCCTTGTCTCCCAAGTAGAGCTGAGACACTGAGTCTCTCCGGGTCTAATCTCACCTCCTCCAGCTTTACCTCAGATCTTCTGAAGTCTATTCAGCGTTTTACATGTTTCAGTTTGCTTTATGATACTTACATTTCAATGAATTTGGCAAATGGGAATACCTCTTTAACAATGCCCTGAATCCAAGACAAAGCGTGTCCAAACTTACCTCCCTTGTCCTGAAAGACACTAGCATCCTTGCTACCAGAATCCTCCCAGAGAAGCTCAGGTCTTTGTGGAAAGGGCAACCTTTAAACCGAGCCACAAAAATGGAAGTGGGAGATTCAAGACTGAGAGAATAACGTGAATGATGGTCACGACCAAATTTTGTTTTCATACATAAACTCCAAAAAATTGACTTGAACCTTTATAACCATGATAGTCCATTTTAATGAACAAATGTTCTTTCAGTCTAAAAGTTTATTGATTCGCAAGTCAAAACTCCAAGATCTCCTTAGTCTGCAGATTGGACCAATTCATTCTTTTATTCACCTTCTCTCCTAACTAACTCAAGAGTGTAACTTTCACTTGGTGTTTCCTACTACCAAGCACTGTTAGAATTTCTATTCTGTTTCGCCAACAAAATTGTTACATTGGTACCATGATGTATTACTTACTCTCTATCTCTGTTCCTGTTAGTTATGTAAACTTAACAAAAGAATCTATTGAAATATTGGGCCTAAGGTCATTCACAGTAAGGAAGTAAGACTTTGAAAGGTTTCTTAAACCATGAGCACATAGTCAGATCTGTAACTTGTTTATTGGCAGAAGTATAAAGGATGTGTTGAACTAAGAGAGGTTACAAATGGGGAGACCACTTGATGAGTCTTAGTTCACTAATTCAACGAAGACAAATGTTGGAAGCATTTACCAGGGATCAGGCACTAAGCCGTTAATGTGACTAGGTTATGTTAAAGGTAACAGAGATCTAGGGAAGAGGACAGGAAAAGAGGAAGTACCAGATGGCTCTATGATGAATTGGTTTCAGGTATTTGGAGTTCAAACACTACAAACAAATTTCCTAGAGGTAAGCCTCTAGGAAAGATGATTCTAAAGACTAGACAATGGGGAAGGGAGGGAAGGGAAGGGGAATAACCAAAGGAAAGACAGTGGAATGAACCTGTCGTAGTTTTCCCATGTACTTACGTGAAAACAACACAGTGAATCCCACCACTAGGTTCATCCATAAGAATGAGACTCTAAGTAGAATAAGATACATTCCATGTGTGTATAATTATATCAAAATGGATTCTGCTGTCATATATAACTAAAAAGAACCAATAAAAAATGATAACTGAAATTACTAAATAATTGAGACTTTGGGGATTTATGAATAAATGGCTTTACTTTGTGAAGCTAAAAAAAAAAGGAAAAATGTGCACATAGATGCAAATACAGCATCCTTATCTCTATTGGAAAAATACCAGAAGAAACTCAAATTCCAGTTTGATTTATGGGCAATAACATTACCTTCTTAAAGGCCAACCAGCTGCCCTGCCTGGCATACAGTTAGTGCCCAGTAGGATGACTAGATGAAGGAATAACTGAAGGAACAAAGGCAGAGATGACAGGGAGAAAAACCCAGAAGATAAATTTAATTAATAGTGGAGTGAACACTAATGCCGATACCTTCTTCCCACCTCAATTCCTACAAATGACAAGAAACATATTTTTAAAAAGGAGATCGATGTAGTGCCAGAAAAAGAGTTCCAGCAATGAAAAGAGATATGAAGAATTTTGGAAAGCCAGAAAGCACTGAAATTTTACATCACAGAAGACACATAACCCAAAGCATAAGCAGAAAAAGGGCTGCCATAAAAATTTATCCTGGTGTGCACCAAAATAAAGGAAATGAGGGATAGAACACAGAGTCGTAGCCCTGATGAAGGAGTGTGGGTGGCCATCCCCTGCCCTCTTTAAGCAAGTGGTAAGCAACAGACATCTTTGCTCTCAGCTTAGAGCAATAAGTCCTTTGGCCCAGCAGGTAGGACATTGCCCAGGAGGCTGCAGACACCCAGGAGGCAATCCTATGTTCTCAAACCTAGGAGAAAAATTACTGGTATGCCTGCCCGTACATCTTGCTCTTTCTTCATAATTCCTGGAAATGAACTACAGAAAACAGTAAGAGCATCCATAGACAAGTTGAAAAAGAATTCGTGCCATGAGAAAAGGGCACTCCACTTAAAAATTTAGGTGCAGCTATCTTAGAAACAGAATCTAAAAGCAAACCGGAAATGTTTTTATTGAGAAGTAGAATTAAGAGACTCAGAGTATAGGAAGCCTAAATGATAATAAATAAAAGACAAAAATTACAGGAATTAAAACTAAAACAGGGATTTCAGAGAAAGAAATATTTATATTGGAGGAAGGAAAATAATCTAAGAATAATAGGAAAAATTCCCAGAGTGGATGATGAAAGTAGTCAGATCAAAAGGGCAAGAGAGTATCCAGCAGGGTGTATTAAAAAAAAAAAAAAAAAAAGTCTAAACTGTGACAAGGAATTTGATAACAAGGAAAAGGAGCAATATCAGAAAAATTTCCACACAGTATGTTTATGTGTCCCAGAAAGGAATAAGGATTAATAAATACACTACAAAAAAATAATAAATATTTGAGGGACAAGATATGTTAATTAGCCTGATTTAATCATTGCATAATATGTTTACCCTGTAAACATATACAATTATCATTGAATCAATGCATGTTAGATGACTGTCAAGAAAATGAGAATTAAAAAGAGAAAAAAGAGAGAAAGCTACTTGACTTCTGTTAAGTACCTGATAATAAGTTAACACAAAACCCAAACAAAAAT